GCCGTGTTCAACACGCGGCTCTCGCCGCCATCTTCTGGCGCGCAGGACCACGAAGACGACGACGACGACGACGACGACGACGACAGCGACAGCGACGACGGCAACTACGTCACGACAGCAGAGTTCGAGAAGGTGATGGGTTCGAAGAGAGGCAAGGAGACGGTGCAACTGATCTGGGGTGATGCTACTGTAGTCGAACGGTGGGACGGACGTGCAGTTCAGTATTTGGGCACGCATACGGTGCTGCAGGAATTTTAGGTGTACCTCTTCGGGCTCTTGGATACCTTTTTCTCGTTACATGTGTGCGTGTTTTTTAGATCCTCAGATGGCTCTAGCACTTTCGAGACCACGGGCTGAGAGTCTTCTGCTAGATTTTGGCATTTAGCAACTGACATACGGTTTAATGTGAAGACAACAACAACAACAACAACAACAGGTGAGTGATTATTTTATTTTGGACGCGTAGATTTCGAACTATTGTTTGCGAAGCAATGTAGCCCCTTGTTGACCATTGGTATAGTAACGCGAGGCACATGCACACAGGCCACAATACTGCTAAATCTTGCCATATCCGTCCCCCACGCCGGCGCTTTCGCTCTACCCTAGATAATGAAACCCATCGCCCAAGCGGCAATCATGGCGGTTCGTCATGAGCCTGTTCCCGATGGCGAGACCGACGAAGGGTTCGATGAGATGCTTAAGACAGTGGAGTGGCAGGTAAACTGTGTGCTGGAGGAGAAGGGCAAGAGCGTCTACGAGCACGCCCAGAGGTTTTTCGTTGCCACGTGATATNCGCTTTCGCTCTACCCTAGATGATGAAGCCCATCGCCCAAGCGGCAATCATGCGGTTCGTCATGAGCCTGTTCCCGATGGCGAGACCGACGAAGGCTTCGATGAGATGCTAAAGACAGTCGAGTGGCAGGTAAACTGTGTGCTGGAGCAGAAGGGCAAGAGCGTCTACGAGCACGCCCAGAGGTTTTTCGTTGCCACGAGAGTAAAGCTTTCATGTATTATTGTGCCGCGTGCGACAACTCCTTCATTTGGGCAGGGAAATTCTGCTGCTTGGCTCTTAAAAGGATTTGTGCCTGGTCCTGTTTGTTTTCATCTGTCGTTCGTGCGGGAGTACGTATGCATTAAGAGTGGCCATGAGAGACCAGGTATCTCTTCCGTCCTACACCGTATGTTGTTGTCTCTTGTCGGTGTTGGCGCCCTCGCACAAAAATGATAAGGATCTGGGAAACCGGGTATCGGTTCCAGTTCGGCCCCGGAAGGATTGCCAGCAACCTTCTGGACAAGAACGTCTCAGACATCACGGAGCAAGACGCCGTCAACGCCTTCATCCCTTACCTGGACAGTGAGTCTGCCATAAGATTCCCTTCAGCATCGTCGATTACATTAGTGTTTCAGCTCTTTTCCTTTTTTTTGCGCAAGGTTTTTCCGTCTCGGCCATCTCCCAGTCTTTCGCCCCCAGGTTCCGGGGGAATGCGGGAACGCGTCGAACTTTTTGCCACACCGCGTGTTGCAGTTTCCCCCTAAAGTTTGTGCGTTGTGGTGTTTGTGCGTTCCCTCTAAAGTCGATCTAAAATTGACACCCTCCAATTGATAACCCCCCCCCCCCNACGCCCATCACTTCGTGAGCTCAACAAAGAAGATACCCGTTGCTTTTTTTTCGCCCCTCTTTTTTTTTTTGGCGGTGGTCATGATGGTGGTCGAGTAGATTTTGGTGTGCGGGGTCGACAACCTCACTTGGAGCAAAGGAGCTGATCACATTGCACGTCTTTACGTGGTCACGTACCCTCGAGGCATTTGTACGCAGCGCTTACAGCTGCCTCTGAATAAGGAAACGGCAAAACATTTATTCAGTCATTCGCAGCTGTCACCCGAACTCAAAGGAAGTAAGCGCAAGATGCCGAACACCCTTCGCGGGATGCAGCGCACCCTCCATGCGACTCGGTATTTCACGGCTTTTTCCGCTTGGTGATTGCGAGCCTGGTCCGGCGAGAACCCGGCGTGCTCCGTCCCGGCATTGTAGGGGTGCGAGGCCAATGGTCCAACGACTACGGCTATGGTTTGGGTCAGGGATACTCCGGGCTAGTGGCAACGAAACGCCAGCTGTCCTGCGATTTTTCCATGAGTGTTAATTGTTTGGGGTGTCGGCGCGTGTACTATGTTATCACGCTCGCGGGCTCTTGTCGAGAGCGTGTTGCACAAAGGAGTGACTCAAGTTCCTTGATTAACTATTAACGAG